ACATGCATGTAATATTTGCCCCTGGACATTAAACACTAATTCATCATCACCAAAAAGGATTTTTGTTGCAGGTGAGACAAAAATGCACATCTCGAGGTTGCTGTACAGTCTTCACAGCACTAAAGCATAATCCAAACAGGAAGTGTTACAAACATTGTAACAGATATGACACAGACTTTATGTCTACAATGATATTCTTTATGCCTGAATCACAGGAAGGCACTTCACAGTATATCCTCATAACTTAACCTCCCATTATGCAACTTACTTGTTAATAACTTTAAGAACTTTTCATAAAGAGTGTCTCTTTAAGTTTCAAATAATGAGGAGATTTTGAGTGAATGTCAGACAGCAACCAAACAGCATAAATTATAAAAAAAAAAAAACAAGAATATGTTTCCATAGAATAACATGATGCCATGCTTCACTTTCACATTTGCATGTTCAGTGAACCTTGATATCCAGGTCAAAACTCTAATTTCGGCAAATAATTCTAAAATTTCATAATGAACTTGTATGCTAAGTTTCAAATTGAAGTGACCACAACCTCATGTTATTTAGGACAGACAGACAGATTAAACAGATGCACAGACTGGAAAACACAATGTCCAAATAACAAGAGATCTAGAGGTCACTATAAGTCTTTCAATGATGAACAAGCAGCCAAACAATACAGCAAGCTATTGATCACAAGGGTACTAACCAATATGTAAATTGTTGAAATAAAATACACAAAAATCATTGAGAATCCCAAATAAATTTTGTCTTGCAAAATAGAACAAATGGCATTACATCCTTATTTTTTTTAAAGTTTTTCTTATAACATTTGACCTTTTGTCTTGATAATCTTTTACAAAGAAAAACCTTTTCTGTTCAATAAGTAAACAGTCATGCAAAGTCATCCAAATCATATATTTAGTGCCAGTTTCTTTGCAAACAGGAAACAAATAAAGGAACAGATTTCCTGATTTCTATTTGTTTTCAACAAAATTGTGAATTTATCTACAAATCAATGGTCTCAAAAAGTATGTTCATGTTGGCTTCTTTTCAATTTCAACATGTAACATGACATTTTTCTTGTAAAGTCTTCATGCCTGCAGCAAATTGACATTTAGTTTCTTGCTAAATCTTCTCCACATGGGAAAAGCTTGCCTATGACATTGATTTTTCATTGACTTCTCACACTTAAACTCATGTTATTTCTTTTATTCAAAATGGAAAAATAGTTGAGCATCTTTCAGAGAAACTAGACACCTTTGTTTCATTGGAAGGGCCTTAAAAGCAGTCAAGACATGCTGCTGACTGTCACAACAAGCCTGTTGGGAAACATAATCTACTCTAAGCAGTCCAGTCAGATTAAGTCTTCAAAACCAAACCAAAACCAAAGTCTGTATTACTTGCACTGAGGGAAATTAGAAAAAAAACCATGAAGACAGGAACTTGACAAATGCAGGGTTCTTTGAAAGTGTATATATGTAAGAATGGCCATCAATTTTAGACAATTTAAAATAAAATGGGGAATGTGTCCATGGGACACAGATGCTTGCGTATCATATAAAGTTATAAAGGGACATAACTGAATAACGGTAAAAGTGACGCTACCCAAATTTGTACTTGATCTTAGTTTTGTGGTAATAAGCATTGTGTATAAGTTTCATAACATTTGGTTGAGGCAAATTTAAGTTGGAGAACGGAAATGAAAAAATCAGCAATTTTTCCATTTGTAAATGGGCATAACTCTAGAACAGTAAAAGTGACACCACCAAAGTTCAAACTTGATCTGTATTTTGTGGTAATAAGCATTGTGTATAAGTTTCATAACATTTGGTTGAGGTTAACTTGCATTAGAGAACAGAAACGAAAAATTCAGCAATTTTTCCATTGTAAAGGGCATAACTCTAGAACGGTTAAAGTGACGGCCCCAAAATTCAAACTTGATCTGTGTTTTGTGGTATTAAGCATTGTGTATAAGTTTCTTAACATTTGGTTGAGGCAAACTAAAGTTAAAGAATAGAAACGAAAAATTCAGCAATTTTTCCATTTGTAAAGAGGCATAACTCTAGAACGGTTAAAGTGACGCCACCAAAATTCAAACTTGATTTGTATTTTGTGGTAATAAGCATTTTGTATAAGTTTCATAACATTTGGTTGAGGTAAACTAAAGTTAGAGAATGGAAACCAACTTTGGGACGTACAGATGGACAAGGGTAAAACTTAATACGGCGTGGCATACAAATGTTTTATGTTTAATCCATTGTTAAAATATTTTCTTAGTAGCTTTCATCTTTTCAAACCTATCTTTAACATCTAATTCATTTGACACATTCATTAAACCTCTTTAAAGCAGCTTACTTAATTGATGACAGTCATAAAACCTCTTTTTAGCAGCTTAGTCCATTGATACAGTCCCAAACCCTCTTTTTAGCAGTTTAGTACTACCATTGATACAGTCATAAACCCAATTATTAGCAGCTAAATCAATTGATACAGTCATAAACCCTCTTTTTAGCATTTTAGTTCATTGATACAGTCATAAACCCTCTTTAGTAGCTTAGTCCATTGATACAGTCATAATCCCTCTCTTTAGCAACTTAGTCCATTAATACATTCATAAACCCTCTTTTTAGCAGCAAAGTCCATTGATACAATCATAAACCCTCTTTTTAGCAGCTTGGTCTATTGATACAGTCATAAACCCTATTTTTAGGGGCTTAGTCCATTGATACAGTCATATAAACCCTATTTTAGCAGCTTAGTTAATTGATAGTCATAAACCCTCCCTTTAGCAGCATAGTCCATTTTTACAACCTTATACCTCTTTTTAGCAGCTTAGTCAATTGATACAGTCCTAAAACCTCTTTTTAGCAGCTTATGGTAGTCCATTGATACAGTCCTAAAACCTCTTTTTAGCAGCTTAGTCCATTGACACAGTCATAAAACCTCTTTTTAGCAGCTTAGTCAATTGATACAGTCATAAACCCTCTTTTTAGCAGCTTATGGTAGTCCATTGATACAGTCCTAAAACCTCTTTTTAGCAGCTTAGTCCATTGATACAGTCATAAAACCTCTTTTTAGCAGCTTAGTCGATTGATACAGTCATAAACCCTCTTTTTAACAGCTTAGTCCATTGTTACAGTCATAAGACCTGTTTTTAGAAGCTGTCCATTGATACAGTAAAAAATCTTTTTAGCAGCTTATTCCATTAAATGACAGTCATTCAATATTCATTTCAAACTTATGTCACTTCCTGTGGGTGACCAGACAAAGAAAATAAATCCAATTCCAAACTTTTTTTTTTGTCTGTAGCTGAATTGCTTTTCCATTCCTCTATTTCAGGTGGCAAGTTTTAAACCCCATAAAACTTCAATAACTCACACAATATTTATAACAACAATTGGAACTTAACAGATTATAAAACCACACAAATTAAAATGCCTGTGAGCTTTATACAGCTTATCAAAGAACATGATGCTTAATTTAGTTAAGGATACAGAAACGCTTTCCATAATTGAATTTACATGTAATCATCGATAATTCATGGAGATTTTTCTAAGAATGGCCGTCAATTACTTCATGAAGAATTGATTATTTAAATGAAACGAAAAAAGTCTAATCCGAATTTAATGATTGTGTTTCCTTAATTAAGATGAGCAGAGAAAATGTCTGGCTTGGTTGTACAGTGTCATTCAGAATTAAGACAAGGAGTTTATACATTCCCATACAACACGGAATATCTTAGGTAAAGTTGACGGAAGTGTTTTTGGATTGAATAAAGAAAAACAAAGTTGTCTGATCATAGTAACTATCAATTTACTTTTCAGTAAAAAAGAAATGAAATCAAATTCAAATTCAAAGAAGGTTAAGAAAATAACATTTGTGTTTTTAACCCATAATCATCCAACTGATTGAATAAAAACTCTTATTTCACCTCTGAATCATTAGATTTATTATGTTGAATTAGTAGTGAAAGACCTAAAGTAATCAATAGATGCTGATCTAACAGTTTTGAATTACTGCAATTGAATATATCCAAGTGTAAAGTTGAATGACTAAAACCATCTAAATACTAGGTAGTGTTATGTACTGCAAACATCCTAACTATGGTAGCTTTCTAAAGAAGAAACATAATGCAAATATGTCAACATGGTCCAATTTGGATTTTCTAAATATAGAAACAAAATTAGAAAATCTTTAAAATAAATCACAGCAAAGACACCATTCAAGGGCAAAAAACAGAAATAAGCATCCACAAAAATAAGTTAGATGGTTTTTTTAATCATCTCTTTTGAACTGATTCTAGACTTTATATGATTTGAATTAGAGCTAGCAATAAGATGTGGATCTGTTCTCTATCATAAATGAACTTTTGGTGACAAAATTTTGCTACTGTTTCATTGACAGTTTTCTTACATACACATATTTTTTTCGTATTGAACATATATTGGTTTTCTGAAATAGATTATAGTTTTATACTACAATGTCTACCCAATGTCAGTGGTTGTCACCCGTAAAATCTTCATGCTTAATCCTTAAGAGAATTAGTTTAGTTTTAACATATTTTAATGTTCAGAAACTCAACAAACGGATGAGGCACAAGTTTTACAACTTGTGTCTAATCCGTTTGAAAATTAGTGTAGATGATGTTGATGGCAAATCTTCTATAAGTTTATAGGTCAAGATGACTGAAACATGTCGATTTCATTAAATTACAATATTTGTAACAGTACTTTTGTTGAACACCATGTGTCCTTTTGTTTTTTGTGTCATTGAGTTGCTCTCTCATTGACCAGTATCTCCATTAAATGATATCTGCATAATGTATGTATGCCATTCTTTTTTTTTTTACATTATCAAAGATTTGCTTTTTCCATCATTAAAAGCAGTAAATTTCATCTGTGTAGATGTTCACTTTTTGTTCTTTGGTCTTATGAGACAATTTTGTCTTACTGGCAATCAGATCACATCTTATTTTTTTATATTAACAAATGAAAAAAGCTTACCTTCAATACAGCTAAAATTTTGATCATATTAACCAATGCAGTTGCACAAGTTTTAACGGTACATTCTACATCCGTTTTTTGCCAGTGTTAATGTGTGACAATCACATCTTCAGTTTTAGTCAAGGAACAGCATCCTGTTAAAACTACAAACAGGAAACTTAAATTAGTTGCTGATCAATTAAGGGCTTATAGCCCTCTTAGAAGGAATCAATTTTATGAACAAATGAAATTATTTATTCCTTTCTTGAGTATCTGTGGTACTCAAAATATGATCTGTATTCATATCATAAATCCATGCTTGTAATGTAACACTAGAAGAAAATATGAAAATCAATGCTTACACAAGCAAAAAATTGCCTCAATCAATTCTGGTCTCTAACTAAAAAACAATGCATTATCCCCTAAGTTAAATCATTTACAATGATTGCCTCTATTTTGTTCCAATCTTCTATAGAAATGGAGGTGGCGATCGTTTTTCTATATCCTGGGTTTGAGCAACTAAATAGCATGCCGTCCAGCAGTTAAAAGTCAATGCACCAATTAGATATCCCATAAAACAATTCTCTGTGACAATAATACATTGATATTTTGAGAAACTTTGCCTGGTAAATGTAACGATAATGACTCCAAGTTACATCACAAGATAGGGTAGATTTTCATGAACTAGCTCTTAACAATTGATCGATAAACAATTACCTACAAATTTATTACAGTTTTGATTGTTTGATTACCTGTTGGGCTATGTATTTGTATATAAACCCAGGTAAAACGTGAATCATCCATTTACCGAGGGTGACAAAAAATTTTTACATTACAGTTACCGGTAACAGGGTGGTAGTGATTTATGACAGCTCATGAAAGGAAATCAATTTGCTAATAATAAATTGACAAAAGTTACTAAGTACCAAAAACCTGATAATGAGCAAGACTCAAGTCTTAGTTTATACATAGAAGCTGATTTCATTTTAACAATAGTGAATACTTCAATTGTCAAAGATGTTTTATTTTATCCTGTTCAAATTGAATAGGTTTTTTTTTAAACAAAGGATCAATGATAAACTCTCATTTTAAGACTCATCAAAAATATGGTTTTTAGAACAATACATTCAATGTTTTGTATATTACCTACATTATAATACACATGTACAACACCTCCATCAAACAAGATGATTTTAATCAGCTATAGTTAGAAGAAGGGGATAAGGTCGCTGTCCAACATCCTTCAAAATTCAAGACAACATCCTTTCAAAGGGAAAAGACTTAAAGGGGCATTAGCTACGAGATATAGGAAAAAATAAAATATGATTTTTTTTTCGTTCAAACATTAATGAAAGTGAAAGAGTGATATAATAATTCGCTTTTAGCAGCCAGTTTGGTTCAGTTTTGTCAAAATATGCAAATAAACATTGTTAATGAATTATTCACTTGCAAGTGAATAATCTGACCTCATTAAATCTGTATTCATGTGAACGAACTTCAATTGAACTCCTTAGCTAGAGATGGGTTATGCATGAACTAGGTGTGTTCAGCTATTAAAAAGAAAAGAATGTCAACATTGGAAGAGAAACAATGGTAGACCATTTGGTTGACTGATTCGACCTACAAAACCCATTCTTATACAGGTAAAAATGATTATTAACATATTTTTTTAACCTATAATATGAAATCAAACAGACCTAGAAAAATCCAATTGCATGAGTTCGCTATCTATTTATATCTATGTTTATGTTTATATCGGGTTATATGACTGTCGGCAGTCTTTGGAGGTCACCTCCATGGTTAATTAGATGGCGTCTATCGATGTCTAGACTAAAATACACACGAAATTCTGATACATGTTATGGAGTCCGTGCATCGTAAATTGTTTATCTTAGACTTTTTATTAATTGGATATACGTTTTAGTATGTTATAAATCAAGTATGAGAATTTCAGTCAAATCGGTGAACATGAATTTGACAGCTAATGCCCCTTAAAGACATCAAATGTCATCTGCTGTGCACTTTTTTTATTTCAATCAAACTAGAAACATATCTTTTTCACTAATAGAAATAGGTACAAATAGGGCAAAAAATCATATGAATTTCAAATCATTCTCAATTTGTGTAATTTTGAAATGTTGATATAATTTTTGCTGAAAGTTCTTCAATTTCATGGGTTATTTATTAACCTCCATGAAGTGGCAGAAAGCTTTATAAAGCAATAAAAATCTTAACCATTGTCTGCACACATGCAAATAAATTATATAGGACACAATCCTAGCCCCAAAATATATTTTCTTGTTGGGATGCATGTTTTTCAATTAACTTTTCCCTGGCAAAAAAATCATTTTGGCAGTGCCTATGCTATATTTTAGCCAAAATATACCAGAAAATTGCTTATTTTTTTAACTAAAATTTGGCAAATCTCCCATCATAATTTCACTGTAACAACGTCAAAGTCATACCCTGACACCAAGTTTAAGCTACATTATACATTTTCTTAAATCCATTATTCAGAAGTTAAAAATTAAGGTAAATAATGGAATCAGATTCATAATCATTTCAGTAAATTTACAGGGCTGTTAATGCCTCTATAAAATGTATATTTTCCTTTGATCTCACCAAATAAATTTGTTTGAAATTACTCTTTCATTACAATTATCTAACAATTTCAATTATTACAATGCATTCTGTATAGTTGGAACTCGAAGTTGGGTGTCCCCATTAAAGTTTGGTGTGAAGACTCTTCACTGTTTGTGCATTCTTAATCATGGATCTCAAAATTGAAATTTAAGCCACCCAAAATATTTGATAAAGTTCAGAAGTAATGAAATGTAATATTAAACTCCATCCTGATAAAAAAAAAAGCAAAAGCCATTAGAACAACTCATGATTGTCTGGCATATCAATATGCTTGACTGTACCTATTAACGTGTGCAATCATTTCTTCATGGAACATTAAAATAAAGTAGTAAATGCATGCAAAATTGAAGAAAATGAGAGCACCTGTTTATAATTTAGCCATAGTGAAATCAAAAGATATTAGATGATTGCACCTGAATCTCATGAAAACAAACAAATTATCAGACCTTGACAGAATTGTCTGTGAAATAGACAAGATAAAGGTAATTATTACCTGAAATCTAGATATACAGGTTGTCCCAGGTGTTAAAAGGTATATTTAAATGTTTACAATTATAAATATGGTTAATGGTGTGGAACAGTTAAGGTCACACTCCAAATGATGACAATCTTGTTATAAAATTTAGATCACCTACCCCATTCATAGACATATTGGTTAAATTTATCAAGGTGGCTGCATATAAAAGATAAGATTTCAAAAGACAATTTAATATAGAATTTGATAAGTTTAACTATCAATTGAGTTAGAGATACAACCTTATACAAAGTTTAGCCATTTTAATCAATAGAGAAGACTCAAAACAACACAAGTATACAATGAAAGCTGTATAATACAGAGGTGGCTACTCTCATTTCAATACCACAGATTGACCCCTTATTGCTCATTTTTGAATATCAATTGTTGTAGTGTACCTCTCTATTTGATATTACTTCTCTTACCCTACCTATTAACACAATACATTGCATTATAATAATGCTGGACGACTTACACTGCAGTGTTAACAATTTTTGCAATATTTTGATTCTTGGTTGAAATTTTCTCCACAGCATTTCTAAATAATCTATGCATTCAGGTCCCTTAAATTAAGTATCCCAATCAAGTCTGTATGTTCATGCTACAGCTCTTTGATTTACCATCATCAGAAATATGACGGCAAATCATTTTCTGTACATAATAGCCTCTAACTCTACTCACCAGACATTAATCTTTCAATCTCAGACTATTTATGGTTATGTCGATTTTATTAATTTCCAGATATTCTGAAACAAAAGAAGACAAATAATGAGTTATGGCCACTTCTTTTAATGTTGCATCACCTGATACCCACCAATTTGTTGGCGTTCACCGACCTCCCGACTTGATCGGTTGCAATACATCATTCAAAACTGTCAATTTTCATTTCTTATTCATTTATTAGACAAAGACAATTAAGGAACAAAATACAATATTTAAGTGAGATAACTGGCATGATCTGCAAATGATAGCAAGCTGCACTGATGCCAGGTTATATTGATACACTAATCATTCAATCATAAATTAGTTTAGATAATTCCAACTACAGAGTGAATATTCCATTAATGAGGCATAGATGTCTCAAATTTTGTCAGAATTATTCTCTCAAATGGAACACTTAAAAACTTGACTTGACCATTAATGTGGCTTGTTCTCAAATTATACTGATGAGTTCGATAAAAAAAAAAATCCACTATTTAATTTCAGTATCTTTAATATTGCTACAAATGCTAATATTGAGTTAATAGTACTCTGTAGGTATATTCCATTGTGAGAGATATATCTACATATTAACTGTCATTGTTTATTTTTGTTAGCTTTATGTATTAACCTCTGAATGGCTTCAGTCATATTTCATTGTGAAGTGTATCAGTATTTCTCTTCGGAAGACTTTTCTCAATTTTATGTCTATTTCTGTACCTAATGCCAAATTCTTAAAATAATCTGTCAATCTAGTTACGATAGTTTTTTATTTATTATTAATGAACAAATATTTAAAAAGAGAAAAAAAAACCAAAAACTACAAGATTGGCATTTATGAAAAGAGGCAGAAGAAAAGGGGATGTTCAAAATTCATGTCGAAGAGAAACTGACAATGCCATGGCAAAAACAAAAAAAAACACAAGTAAAAGACAAAACACTACATAGAAAACTAAAGACTTCATGAGCAACACAAGCTCCCAACAAAAACTGGGCATGACCTCATGTACTCTGGAAGGGTAATCTAGATGCAGCACCAGAGTTTGTAAAAAGAAAGCTATAGTAAAGGCTGGTCAGCTATATTTCATGGTGGTAAATATTATATTTCAAACGCATAACTTTTGACAATGAGATAATCAAAACCCATCAACTCTATTACATTGGATTGTGATATTGAACATAAACACCTGGTGAAGAAGAAAAATAGTGTTTTAAATAAATACCAGAGATAGCTAATAACTCCTTGTGCCAAATTACTGATCAATTTATACTGCTATTGTTTCTAGAATTACGTGTTAGACCACATGTGTTCTGGAAATAGTTCAAAAACTTGCCCAATTTGTTTTAAAAAGTAAAATAAATATGATAATTTCCTTATCATCTGCTATCATTCTTTTAGACAACAAACCAAACTATCAATCCTGACTATAAAATTTGAAATATCATTCCTGCCAGTAATGTGTGTTGAATTGGTCATTGACCAAACACTAATTCAAACAAGAACATAATAGACAGAATCTGTGAAAAGAAGGCCATACCATTTATGAAACATGTTTGTGACCTTGACATGTACACAGACATTCCAATTCCCAATAAGTATTATAATGACATCAAGCAATTCAAAAGTTCTGAACCAGACAAGACATGCCCTGAGACAGATAGACAGTCATAAAAAAAGACCAACCAGAAAAAAGACCAGACAAATGTTGGATTTTGAATGAAATATCAAGTCCAATGAGTGCTCTAATTGCAGTAAACCGATCGTCTTTTGTGATACCATTCTTCCAATGTATACACTCAAGCATTTGTTATCCTACAGTACTTAATCAAGCGAGTTAAAAATACAGAATATACATAAAACATTTGTAACTGTCCAGATAATGAGAATTTATAATGAAATATGGTGTGATGCCATGCATATTTAACAGAGGCATATACCATAATTAATAAGCAACTATATATTGCACTAAATCATAATAGTTAATGGGCAATGTAATGGTAAGAGACAACGACAAGGTTTTTAGTACAAACATTGTTCCACTGGTATAGGGACGAGTTTTAGCACTCACAACATGTTTAACCCACTACAGACTAAAGGTACTGTTGTCTTAGCAAGTAGCATGTAGTCAGTAATGTATCTATATTATTTTTGCTTTTTGCATAATGCTTATTGACTTAAGTTATGCAGTTCAGTTGCTTCAGATTTGACTTACTGCAAGCTTCTTGTTTTTTATTTATTGCTACAAGGTGCATAATTCTGTATGTGCATATAATTAATTTTGCACTGTTTGGTCTTTTTGTTAGTGTATACAAGTCTTGTTAACTTGTCACATATCATACTTAAAAAGATAAGAATTCTTTACTCTTATTAAGTATTTTTTAACATAAAAAAAATAAAGAACTTCAACCAGAATTTCCTGTACACAAGTTTGTACACTAAGGGATTTTTTGTGTGTGCTTTTTTTTTTGTATGCAACGATTTAGTGTCAATACAATATAAATAGAGATGAGAAAGAGTTTAAAGCGGGATTAAATACAGGAAATCAGAGATAACGTATCAGTAAATTACATTTTAACTTTTATATATATTCAGATGAATACTCAGATTTAAATGTGCCCTAAATAAATAATAATATGCTTGATAATATCTTAAAATAAACTGAGACTTTTCAAGTTGTTAACTGGAATTATTCATGAACAGGAAATAGTCTGCTGACCCCAGTACTTCTTCATGCAGCTTTGTTGAATGTGGAAAACCCACAGGTTAATTCCAACTTATACATTATGTACAGCTTAATCAATATATGTATGCAGCACCCATTAAACTTACTACAAACAAGTTACTCATTGTTTTATTTTGTTGTTGCATAGTTTGTCCAGGTCAAAAACATTGTACCCTCCCCAACTTTGCATGTGGCAAAATAATGACAGTTTAAAGTTTCAGATGTTAGTAAAATAGTATTAGTAATCAACATACTAAACAAAAATAACTTTTTCTGAAAATGAAGTTAACTTCATAGCAACTGGATTGATTGATTATTAGCTGCTTAATGTCTACTGGCAAATATTTCATGCATGTAAATGACTAGAACAAATTAACAATCAATACAATAGGTAGGTTTTACAAGGATACAGTTGAGGAAAAGGAAAGAAAGGATTGAAAAGTTGGACTACCACTTGAAAATGAGGGTAAATGGGATTAGCGGGGCAGATAGTTTACCTTGTAACAGGTTATCTACAGACCCCTTAAAGAGAGTTGTTGCAAGGGTTCTTTAACATACAGAGAGTGTGCTGTTATACTACACTAGGCATCATAGCAATTGAACTATAGAAAACTGTATATCATGAATACATTAGGCATCTTGATAGGAAGGCAATTAAATACTTTTTTTGTAGCATATATAGAATATTAATGCAATGCAACAGCCTCTCAACGGTATGTTTGTAGGCAAATGGCATACATAAAGCAAATCTCCTACACGGACTAAATGCCATACATGTGGATTGGGCTGACCTACAATACCCCCACCACTTCCACAAAAACCTTTCAAGGAGTATGCAATAGAGTAATTATTTCATCAGTGAAATGATTCTCAGTGCTATGTACATAATGACTAATTCCAAAATGAATATCACCATAAAGCTAAGTTTTCAGTAATAAAAACTGGCTAAGATAAAGGGTCAAACTTTATCATCTGCTTAGTCTATCACGTAGTTTTAAATCACAAATTAATGGTTGCCAAGAATGTTTAGAAAATTACACGCTTGCTTTTCTACAGAACAGTTGTTCACAAAACTTCAAAACAGTGAAAGCAAAAAAATAAATGAAAATATTAATTAGAAATATATGATATCAGATGCTACATTTTGTACATGCCTTCTCGTTTCTGGCTCTCCAAGGAATTTTACAAAATATCATGAATAAAGCAACTCTTGATGAATATAACATGATATATAGCAGAGATATTGATTCATTGTATGTTTTAATGACATTGAAACACATCAGTTTGGAACATATATTTGAAAGAAATTCTACAAGCAACCTCAATTAATTCATTCTTTACAGTCAGATGCATATAATAAGCATCATTCAGTCATGTCCAAATCTCCATGTTTAAAGTGTAGACCTAATTGAAGAAATAGTATATGTTCATCTGGCTATGAAATCTTTTTAATACTCCCAAGCCATAATAAAAACCAAAGTCAAATTTCCATGATCTAGTATATTATCAAATTTATTGCATTGCATAAACACATTAAAAGATTTGTGCTACTGTTCATGGGTTACGTTGGTACCTATATCTATACAAAATCTCTCAGTAATTATTTGTACTTTCATTTCAACCTTCCACACCAAAATTGTTTAGTACAAAGTTATGAAAGGAAATTTTGTTCAAAAGCTTTTAGTTGATATTTTTTCATATAAATGTGAGAAACAGCTGAGAGAGAAAATTGACACACTTCCTACCTGTAAATCTTGATGTCAAAATATCCTAAATAAACAAGCTCCCTAGGTGGTAAAGGGATTATTACATAGATTATTCTAGTCTTACCTGGAGGTTTATGGTATAACATATATTGTCTTTAAATGATACCTGTACATTACAAATATTAAATCCTTACCTAAACCCAATACATGTAATCAAGATTTGTGTATTATATGACTTTGAAGAGTAAAAGATGTCATAAATAACCAGATAAAGTGAAAGTACACATTAGGAAATTATGTGTGGCTTTTTTGTCATTTATGACTTGACCTGTATATTATCAAATATATACAAACTGAAACCATATATAACAATATGATAGAAGAAATTAAATGAAAACTTTCACATAAAAGTATCATTGTTCCTCTGGTAATAAAAACTATTAATGCCAAGACCATTATCCATATCCTTTATTGTAGTCAGTATTTTAGGATACAGACATCATGAAAATTTAAAGATGGGCATGTCCAAGTGACACTGATCTTATATCTTTTTAATATGGATATTATTTCACACCTTTGAGAGTGTCAGTATCACTTTACTAAAGTATATGACAAATT